ATACAAAAAATTAGTATAATAGAAAATTTAGTGTGAATATCGACTAGTCACTAGTCATTAGCACATTTACCGATAAAATAAAAAAAATTCCATAATCATTATAACTTTACGTCATTTATTCTACAATACTAGTTATTTATACTATTTATCAATTTACSACTAAAATAACTGTAATCGTAACCGCGAGTCGCGACCCATCAAAAAAAATTCCGCGACCCATAATTGGGAAACGCTGCTCTAAACCATGGTATCGACTGAAAATGACACAACAAGACCTTTCTAAAGTTCTCTAACACACAAAATTACCAGCCTTTCAAAACTGTGCTGTTTGTTTTTTCATAGTTGTAACTAACTACAATATAACAAAAACAAAAACCCAAAACTAAATATTAACCAGTGATATTAATTAATATAAATAAACCTGAATAGAATACAGAACTGAATGCTGCGTTTCAATTACCTTCAATAAGAATAGTAGTTAATTATACTTATTATTTTAAATTTTAAAGTATAAATACATTATTTAAAAAATTAATTTAAGTAAGGCCTGGTWAAAATAAATATGCATTTTAAAGTTTCAATATTTTACAAATTTATTGTGGACTTATATCTCAAAAAATTATCAACAACAGTCAGACTCAAGATTAAGCCAGCAAGATAATGAAATAATCTTGGTGGGCTACTCAAAATATAGGCTGGTGATGAGTGTTTGACCATAATTTAATTTTTAAATTATAATGAGAAATTAGTACAAAAATTAATAGAAAATATAATTGAATCAAATTATTTAAATGTACAGCTTAACTGTAGTCAAATGTAAGAAATCCTAAAACTCAGTGTGCCAATACCTTGACTATTGGGTGTTTAAAATAGTAGGTATCTACTCAGTATTAAAATTACAAATAGTTATATTACTTTGAAAAGTAGAACCATGTTTTTTCTCAGCTAAAACTATAAATATTTGTAATATTTGTTGAGGGACAGCTTCTAAAAAACACTCAAAGATTCGTAACAATGACACATAGGAGTCTTCTTTAGCCATTAATGCATAGTAGTTCTTCTGATCATCATAATTTCCTTTACGAGCAGCACTACGAGACTTTAGCGCATATTTCAATACATCATAATACCTACATATAAATAACTATATTACAACATTTACAAGGTATATAAAATACTTTAAAATTAATGGTATTATTATCACACAGATAATTGTTGCTGTAACAAAGTATTATAACAATAGACTTAGATAGGTAGATATTAGAAAATAAATTCTGATCTAATATAACTAAGAATTTAAATATTTTAGTAAAAATAATTKTCATATGATTAAATACCTTAATACAGGAGCCATTTGAAATATCAATAAGAAAGGTAATAATAGTCGATTTGAAAGTAATTTTTGGGTAATTCTTTGCACATCTTCTTGAATAGAATAACTAAAAATTAAATTAAAATAAATAAAATCATTATTTTTTAGCTTAGGTGCTGTTCTAACATTTTTAAACTCATATATGTATTTATTATGGACGGAACTGCTATGAAAATAACCGTCAATACAAAATAATTATGCTTTTCATATCTGTAATACTGATAGGCGACATTGTAATCAATGCAAACATCAATAACATGGCTAACAATAGCTAGGACCAACGTAATTAAATCCCAGTAGGAAATGCTCAGATCTTTGGGGAGCTCATCTGGCTCATCCAAACCAGATTTAGATCTATTACTTTCAGCTTTGTGAACCAGATGTTTTGTAGTCCTAATGTCATCTCGATTTTTGTCCATCGTATTGTTTCATTAGATTCGTAGGACTCCAATGTTGAAATTCCTGGTACATCACTATAAGTGAATATTTTTAAATATCTAAGTGTACATGATATTAAGTAAATAGTTTTGAGTCAAATGGTGCTTAGTACTTAGTAGCTACAACTAAGTGATCATTAGCTATTGCTTAGCGCTTGCCTATTCAGTATTTATTACTAAATTTTATATTTAAAAGAAAAATGAACAATTATAAACATTGTAAAAATTGAAAATCATTTAAATCTATATCAACTTTATTATCAAGGGTTTCTAGTTRGTTGTTTGAATAATAAAATGATAACAATCGAGTATAATAGTGATAAAAGATGGCACAGTGCCAAACTATTAACTGACAACCACCAACCACGGATATCTTCCAAGACCGCGGTACCAACCA